AAAGAAGGCAATATGTATTATTTATTTTGTTTTACAGTTAAATGATTATTTATGTAATATGGGAGTTTTTGGCAGAAGCAATTTGTTACTATATGAACTACCTGCCTCTTGCACTTTAATAAAAAAGACATTGTGGAATTTGACGTATTTGTTTTTGTAATAGTTTTAGGGGTTATTTTTCCTGTACAGATATCGAGATATATATTGTATAATATATCGAGATATATTTTTTGATCCATATCACCCAGCCCTATCCTATATTACACTAAATTGACTCTCGTGAGCTTTAAGACGTTATAATGTTGTAACCTCATCAAAAACATACCTGGAATTGCCTTTCGTTCTTGTAATAATTACCCAAAAATCTTGCAAATGAGAGTTATAACACTTTGCATTGGTTTAGTTATTCATTTCGTAAAACTGCATCTTAGATCTGTTAATGTGGGGCTTGATGATTGCAGTTTTATGTCCCACTGATACCTTCACAGCGCTCATATTGTTGGGAGCCATTTGGGAGTTTAATTGCCGATTTGCGATTCCATTTGGGGACATCACAGTGACAGCTCTGCAGTAAACTGAGACAAAAGACTAGAATACACTGCTGCGCCTTCATCATTCCATTAAATCATTCACATTGAATTAAGTCTTGTGTTAAAAGCTCCTCTTTATCATGCAAAAACAGAGAAAAATTACATTTACAAGGCTTTTGCATGTCATCCAGAAAAAAATCCAGTGGGGGAACGTAATGAAGTACAAAAGGAAAAGTACAACGCGTAAATACAAATTTTAAGTATCTGTACTTTACTTATATCCACATAAATCCGTGTATCATTCGTTCATTTGTTTTTCAAAATAAAAGCAAAAATAAGAAATTAAAAAAATTTTTTTTTCATTATTTGTCTCCAAAACCAAAATGAAAAAAGAGATAACGATTCATTTTTTCAGTTTTCGATTTTGTATTTAAATGAAAACTCATTTGTGCTGTATATGGACTAAAACAGGACTTAAAACAGGACTTAAAACAGGACTTAAAACAGGACTTAAAACAGGACTAAAAACAGGACTAAAAACAGGACTAAAAACAGGACTAAAAACAGGACTAAAAACTGGACTAAAAACTGGACTAAAAACTGGACTAAAAACAGGACTAGTCCTGGTCTGCTCCTGGTCTGGTCCCAGTCTGGTCCCGGTCTGGTCCCGGTCTCAATCCTGGTCTCAATCCTGGTCTCAATCACGGTCTGGTCCTGGTGTGGTCCCAGCTTCATTCCCGGTCTCAGTCCTGGTCCTAGTCTGGTCCCGGACCTGGTTCAGTCCTGGTTCAGTCCAGCATTGCAGTTTAAGTTGAATTTAAACACAAAATCAAAAACTGAAAAAAAAACAACAACAAATCGTTATCCGTTTTTTCATTTTGGATTTGGAGAGAAATAATGAAGAAAATAGTTGTTTTTTTCATTTTACTGGATACGTTTTACTTTTACTTCACTACATTTGAGAACGTGTATCTGTACTTTCTACTTAACTACATTTTAGATCTGGACTGAAAAGTAAAAAGTACTTTTCTTTACAGTGTGAGACTTGGTGAAATGGGAGTTTATTTTTTATTACAGTTCACTTTTTCACTTTATGTCTCAGCTTTTTACTGTTTTAGTCCTGGTTTATTTTAATTTAATTGGATTTTAGCTACAGGTCTTGTATCTGTACTTTGACATAAGTAACAAAACTGAGTACTTCTTCCCCCACTGAGCATATGTTTGTGTACATGGAGTTATTCTTGTTAGTGAGAAGAATGAGGTACATGAAGTTGAACCAGTCCATCTCCTTATATAACTCTCTCAGCCATCGCTTTCACGCATGTGTTGTTTCAGAGCTCAGAGGATCCAGCTCTGAGGACAGCTCCTCTCTACGCTGACTTCATTACGCAACAACTACCTCCTCCCTTTGTTTCTTTAATACGCCAAACTGACTCTTCTGAGCTTTTACAATCTGTGTGTCATTCGTTCATTCGTTTTACAAAATAAAAGTGAAAATAAGAAAATGAATAAACAACCGTTTTCTTCATTATTTGTCTCCAAAACCAAAATGAAAAAAATGGATAATGGTTCGATTTTTCAGTTTCGATTTTGTGTTTAAATGAAGAATGGAAAAAACGGATAAAGGCTGTTTCCCATTTCCATAAACTCTGATGTCGGACTGAACCAGGACTGAACCAGGACTTAAAACACGTTCGGTACTAGACCAGAACTGAGACCAGAACTGAGACCAGGACTGAGACTGGGACCAGACCGGGACTGAGACCGGGACTGAGACCGGGACTGAGACCGGGACTGAGACCGGGACTGAGATCGGGACTGAGACCGGGACTGTAACCGGGACTGAGACCGACACCAGACCGGGACTGAGACCGACACCAGACCGGGACTGAGACCGACACCAGACCGGGACTGAGACCGACACCAGACTGGGACTGAGACCGGGACCGAGACTGGGACCAGACCAAGACTGAGACCAAGACTGAGACCAAGACTGAGACCGGGACTGAGACCAGGACCAGTTTAGTTCTGGTTCAGTCCTGGTTCAGTTTGGCATCGCAGTTTAAGTCACGTAATCCAATGTGTTATTATGTTTTGAAAATGTTCTGAAATCAAATCAAACCCACAACTTAACCGTTTTATATTCTGTACTCTATGCACCAATGAGTGTCTTGCCGATGACCACAAACTGGGCGAGATTTAAACTGCTGACCTGTGGTTGAAGGGCAAATGCTTAACCCACTGCACAACAGCTAAATATTTCAGATAATTATAATCACGTGGTCATTTGGCGTGATCTGAAATGTGATGCTGATGTAGCTCAAATGGTAATTAGATTCTCAGTGGTGGTGTTGAGATGCACTGCTGTGACTGTCCAGGTGCAGTTATTTTTACTCTCCACAAAGTCACTCACAGAGGCGCAGTCCAAAATCACTGAGAAACAAATGAAAGTATACACAACTTCAGGTTACAAAAGTGTTAGAACAATTTATTCAACTAACTCTAATGTCACAGAACTGGAATTTTACGGATCAACTCTTTAAAATTTAAAGGTTCCATGTTACGTTGTTTTCTGATCCGTGTTATAATCTTGTTTCCTGATCGCAAACAAATCAGGAGTTGAGTTTTGGAATTGCAAATCTCTACTGAACATAAGGTAAAATGCTGTATACTTGAAAACTACTGCTTCATGACATGGCATTTTGAGCTTTGGAGATATAGACAGTAGGGATGTAACAAAAATCGAAATATCGTGATATCGTATCGTCAAAGTTCTCACAATAATATCGTGGACCATCACAATATATCGAATTACAAGTCTCTTTGCTTAAATTAAGAGTTATGGTGCAAAAAAGACAGAGGGAACTACATAGACCATGATCCTTTGCTCCATTTCAGTGCAGACTACAAGAAGAAATAACAGTTCTAAGCATTTTTAAGTCTTAGTTCTTTGGATTAAGTCTTGTCAAGGCATTTTAAGAGGAAAAAGTTGCATATTAGCCTCCACACAATATTGCAATAAATATCGTACTGTGAGGCTCATACCGTGACGATATCGTATCGTGAGACTTGGATATCCTCACACCCCTAGTAGACAGACTAATAATGCAAGATTTTCTTTTGTGCATGTTTCTTTTATGAGCAGCAAGACTAGTTCTTTGCTTGAAAGGTCAAAGCTTCTCGAATCAGGATAAAATGTCCTTTATTCAGTCCAAGTGGATTTACTTATTTAAAGCATAATCTTTCTTTCTTTAACAATTTAAATCCAGTCACGCCTGTCTTCTTGACGATAGATAAGTTTAGGCCCCATCCACACTACTACTTATTTGAGTTGTTTTCGTTGTGGATGCAGTGTTCGTCCACACTAATCCGATAACGCATAACGGCTCCAGAGACAGAACGATCTAGTGCTGCCAGCTCCCACGAATTCATCTGAGTACAGATCTGATCCGGCACTGTGTGGACGCCTGAAAACATTGATATGCTGATGTAGGAGCTCTAGTTGCGTCTTTATTGGACCACGTCACTGTGACTTGTGTCTTCCTGATTCGCTGGGTTTGTGACATCGGTCATGTGACACTATTGTGGAAAACAGTTTAAACAAACCAGAGACAAACGGGAAACAGCGTAGCTAGAACTACTTGCACAGAACAGACTCCCCATCAGCAGAACACCCCTCCATCACAGAAAGAACACTCATATTCCACTGAGTCATGTTCTTTTTAAGTCCAACAGAAGCTGAAGCAGAAGAAGCACAAGGAGCGAGCTGTCCTTTGAGCGCTCAGTTTATGCAAATTAGCCATGTGGTTTTAAGCTTCGTTTCTGTAAACAAATGTGCTCAAAGCTGTGTGGACAGGGAAGACTTGCTGACACAGAAACGACGTGTCTGGATGCAAATCGTTTCTGATACGGTGATCCTGTGATTAATTTCAGTGTAAACGTAACCTTAATCTCATACTTTGGCCATCCAGTGAAACAAGCACCCTCCACCCAGAAGTTTCATATTGCATCTTTAATCTGATTTATTTGCTCTTATTAGTAAATTTGTAAAATAGTAACAGGATGAAAAGACTATACCCTAGACCTGTACCCAGTTTGTAGTACCCAATGTAGTTAAGCAAATTTCGTCCAACTCTATTACAGATATCTTGTAAACTCCACTCTTGAGACCGCTGCTGACTGTTTGCATGTAACTACATTGCTTTTTATCCTGCTAGAATCAGGAAGTGCACTGTTTGCATACTAGTTATTGTTAGTTAGTTAGTTATCGCTGTGAATAATAAGGTAAATATGTGTTTGAAAAGTAAGGAATAACTTTGGACCACTGCAAATTGTTAAAAAAGAAGAGACTTACTTTAAAAATACTTTATTGGTCTCTCGAAGGAGGAGAATTTGTTCTGTTTTTCACATTTTAAGACCACTAAACTCTAACCACACCCATCTCTTTCTCTTTTCTATCCTTGTCCGCAGTCCATCATGGAGCAGTTCAACCCCTGCCTGAGGAACTTCATTGCCATGGGGAAGAGCTACGAGAAGGCTCTGACCAGTGAGTACCATGGGCCATTTTGAAATACTGTCCATTTTTGGTCTCTGGGTCTCTGTCCATGAGGTGCTGTGAGCTTCACACTTGCATGGCACTGGCTAAAATCACTTCATCTCAATAGTTCACACTTACACTAGTCATAGTTGTGTCAGAGTTTAATATTTAGTCACCCTTCATCTGTGAAAAGTGCTTTTGTCTAACTTTTTTATTGGTCCGTGATCTGTGTGGGTCTTGTTTTCACGTCAGTTCAGAAGTTGGTACATAGATTTTCGCCAAACTTTTCATATTTCAGATTTAAAATTTTGTGCGGCAATTTTACGCATTCTGTGATTTTTATTTTTATTTTATTTTATTTTTATTTTTTTGCTTACCTCTTGATTTCTAAACTGGGGCAGCCTCTCCACCTGGTCTTGTTTTGTCCATTGGAATTGCTTCTGCGACTACAACTTCTTTTGTTACTACTACTACTACTACTACTACTACTACTACTACTACTACTACAACTGCTACTACTGCATTCAAACTATAAAAATGTACATAAATAAAAGCCAGTTCACACAAAATGTAGGTTATCTTGCTTGAGGACACAACTATTGTTTGTAATAATTATGTCAACCCCCACTGCAATTTCTGTTTTTACTATATTTTTACTACTACTACTACTACTATGAGTACTACCTCTAGAAAGTATTTGACCATAGTTAAAGGTCCCATATTACGCTATTTTCTGATCTATGTTATAATGTTGTTTCCTCATCACAAACAGACATGGAGTTGTGTTTTGTTTTTGTTTTTTGTATGTGGCAGAGGTGAGGACTTGAGTCAAACTTGACTTACTATTTTTAGGACTTGAGACTTGACTTGAGAAAATGGACTAAGGCTTGAGACTTGACTTGGACTTGAAGTTGATGCTTCTCCTAAAAAAAATATAAGTTTTTTGGAAATAGTTTACTCTTTACATTTGATAAATGCAGTGCTGAATTTTACAGGAACAAACTGGAACATGTCTGTCCCACTTCTCTGTTTGTTACTTTGGATGTAAATTAAGTACTGCGGTGTAGTATCCTCAAATGTACTACAGTAATATACAGTACAATACAGTAAAACAAATGGAACTACAAAGAAAAGACATTTAAAAAGGAAAAATGTGCTTTTTAAGTACAATTTAGGTTATAATTCTTATAAATTGCAAAAATCTAAGCTATATATTAGGTGCTTTGGTTTAAAGACTTGGAAATGACTTGAAGCTCAAAGCAAACGACTTGGACTTGACTTGGATTTATGTGCCAGTGACTCGAGACTTGATTTGGACTTTGGACTGTATTTGACTTGGGACTTGACTCGGACTTGAGGTCAAAGACTTGAGACCTACTTGAGACTTGCAAAACAACGACTTAGTCCCAGCTCTGTCATGTGGTCATACAGGAAGTGCTCCACTGTGTTTTTAAACTCCACACACCTTCACTAGAATCATCTGCATAATTTCAACCACGGTATTTCAAATCTCTGCTGAACAAAAGGTAAAAGGTAGCTGCACGACATCACAAGGTGGAACTGAACGTTTTCTGCTTTCGGAATAATGCAGGATTGCACGAACATGCGCGAATGAAACAAAACACAACTCCAAGTATGTTTTTGAGGAGGTAACGACATTATAACACGAATAAAAGCGTCAAATAAAAGAGTACATTTTGCGTAATATAGGAGCTTTAAAAATAACTCATCGGTGAATAGACATGTCTTGAATTAAAAATAACTCTGAAAATGCATGACATTCCCTGTATACATACCCAGGTGTTGTTCTAGCTTTGACACAGCACAAAGAGCTCAGGTGTGTGTGTGTGTGTGTGTATGGAACAGTAAACTGGAGCAAGAGCCAATGAGAAGTGGGACAGGAGGAGGAGGAGGTAATATAACGAGATCCCCACGGGGCAAAAAACAAGAACAGACCCACCACTGTAACCAGGACGCACACGAAAAGCAGGTGTAGAAGACGGTTTAAAGGTGCATTGTGTAACCTTTCTGGTGGAGGGTTCGTCAGGCCGTTGCAGATCAGATCTGCGGAGAGGTGACCCCGCTCACAGTCAGAATGTCTGTTTTTTTACGTGTTTTTGAGCTATAAAAACACCTCTATTTGAATACATGTAAAGTAGAGCTGTTTAATGTCATACTGTGGAACATTCCAGGCAGAGCAATGATGTATCCATAGAAACAAGCAGGTGACGGACCCTCAATGAAAAAGTTACACAATGCACCTTTAAGATAGCTAGTTAAGGTAGTCTTCACTTACTAGAAAACAATGTATTTATATAAACTCAGATTAAACTTGTGACTCATACGTGTTATTTTAGTCTATATTTGGCAAAAAAAAGTTACATATTGTGACTTTAAAGGTAGGGCTGGTTATCATTAAGAAGTTGCCGATCTCGATACAGTGCACTTTCGGTACGATACGATATATTTCAAATCGATTTGATATGGTTCAGTAAAAAATAAAGGCTAAATCATGGCTGTGATCCTAAAAGTCTTTGTTAAATCACTTCTTGTGCAAAGTTCATATGAAACACAAACATTTTAATCATCAAAACAGTGTCAAAATGTCAAATGTGTTGCATAAATGAGTTTTCTTTCACTCAACCAGCAACAAAACTGTTGCACAGTAACAAAATAATTAAGTAAAATATACCTAAAAATACTCTTGGTAATATATCGATACAGCAGCCCATGATATCAATACTGTATCATCACATTAAACTATACGATATATCGATATTCCAAAATTTTTGCACACCCCTATTTAAAGGTGCACTGCGCAAATTTTCGGGTGGAGAGTCCACTGCCTGTTTGTCTCCATGGAGATGTTATTGCTTTGTCTAGAATGTTCCACAGTATAGATTAAAACTGTCTATCACTAGGTAGACAAGCAGGTTACAGCACTACGGCTACATTACAAGTCAGATCTGTGGAGGGTCGCGACGGTAGGCGGGTACTTTTTTTATTTAACTAATCACTGCTATTTGGTCGTGGCGTATGTAATGTGCTGCTAACGGGGGGAACTGGAATATTACGCTTTTCCAAATCCCGTAGGAAGAAGGGCAATAACGTCTTTGCCCTTGATAAAATTCACCAAACATTCTCTTTGTTCCGGCTTTAAATCCTCGATCCCGGGAATCGTTGACAACACATAATGTATGGCTCTTCACTGATTGGCTGGGGCCTGAACCTGCACTTCTGGGGTTTTTGCAAATCATCTAATATATTCTGATTCCTGACCTAGTCGCTGGAGAGATATGAAATTGAGCGGAGACACTAGCTGGCGCCAACCTGGCTAGTTTAAAGGTCCTATATTACACAAAATTGACTCTTGTGAGCTTTGAGTCAAGTTATAATGTTCCTCATCAAAAACAGACCTAGAGTTGTGTTTTGTTTCATTCACACGTTTGAATACCTCTTTATTATTAGTCTGCCTATGTCTCCAAAGCTCGTAATGCTCTGTTCCACCTTATGATGTCATGAAGCGGTGGGTTTTCAAGTCAACATCTATCTATTTGATCGTTTGCTCAGTAGAGATTGGCAATTCCAGGGCAAAAATTAACCAAAGAGGGGAGAACTCAACCTAAATATGCAGGATTTGTGTGTTAAACATGTGTGAATGAAACAAAACACAACCCAGGTCTGTTCTTTATAACATAGATCAGAAAACTGTTTAATTTGGACCTTTTAAAGTCAAGACAAAGTCATAACATTTCCATGGCGGACCCACGACCAGAAAAGTTACACTGTGCACCTTTTAAAATCTGTCCTTTTATATGGTCAAATATGAAGTTTTGGCTGTGGACTTGTCTCACAGGGTCTGCAGTTGAATATGCAATGATTAAAATGACTCAGCACTGGCTAATTATCATGTATTAAGTTTCCAAATAAGCCACGAAGGAGACTCAAAGGTGAATCTTCTGCATTTAGCCAAAGAGTCCATATCAGAACCAACTGACACAAGGCCAAAGTTAAAAATAATTTGCTAATTGAGGGATTTATAATTGTATTTTTATTCTGAATTCAGACGTTTTTCATATTTCAGTCAGTCTAGCCCATGGCAGTTGTGTCCATCGACCAAGTAAGTAGTGACGAAACAAAATGTGATGATTTTGGTGATCGACAAAAGTGCTACAACCATTATTAAGACAAATTCTGCTTTTCCACTGGAGTTTAGTAGCAGTATTCCTCTAAATGGGGCTACTAATTTTAGCAGATCGATTGACTGATTCTTGTCTTCTCATGTCTCTCGAGGGGGTAGGTGAAAACAGAAATTTTCTGAGCACTCAAACCTCAAATGTAGGACAATACAGCCAAGCAAGCATTTATGAATTCATCTAAATATAATTCTTAGCAAGCCAATGAGGGAAAACCATTACAAGTTAATAGGGATGTAACGATAACCGAAATATTGTGATACCGTATCGTCAAAGTTCTCACAATAATATCATGGACCATCACAATATATTGAATTACAAGTCTCTTTGCTTAAATGAAGAGTTATGGTGCAGCAACAGCTGCTTTTTCTATTAAAATATTGGTAATTTTCTGCATCGCTTAGCATAGCAGCGTCTCCAGCGTCTCTGTACGTGGCCCCTCCCACCAGAGCAGCACAAATGAAGACCTGTCTCTTTCCAAACGCTCTTAAAGGACGATCGTTTTGACTGTTGACCGTGACACCCTCATCAGAAAAATGTCCAAAATGAGAAAAGTGGAGCCGAGTGCAGAATTTTCCAAGAAAAATTTACTTATTCCTATTTGCATATGAGTGAAAGTTAAAACATTGTGTGGAAATTGGATTTTCCTTAAAGTTTCAGGTTGTTCATAATATTATAATGTTTTGTAAAAGAAAGAGTTCATCAATTAAAAAAATATTTCTGTAATAGATTTGTGTTTCTCTGCACAAATATTTGAACTTATTGTTATTTTTGGGGTTTATATGACAAGAGTTTTCTGATCCGGCCCCTTTG